CACACACACATACATAAAAACGAAAACAAAGCCAAGGCCAGTTCGGCATTGTCGCCAGCACAGGTGGCACAGGTGTAAGCCACCTGGCTGTGCGAAGCAGGCGCCATCGCTCGCCCAACTTAGTTGCAAGTGAATAATTTTCCTGGCACCAGCTAGAATCAGGCTACAAATTGATATTCATTTTTAGTGGACATATGGCAATTGAAGCTAATATAGAGGATTTGTGGATGTGAGAGTTGAGCTTGTGATGTGAAAATTGATTATGGCCAGGTTAGCAGCAGAGCCCGATTAGAACTCGAATCGCTTTCAAATTAAGCTCTTAAGTGGCTTTAAGATTTGCAATATTTGAGAAATATGCGAAATTACTGCTTCAATATGCATATGCAGTATATTAATTGACGAACTAATACCCTGTAATCATTTGTGGTTAGTTAGACTAGACGTCAGCTGCCTACCATCACTTCCTCGTTTCAATATAATGAAATTATACCCTGTAAGTATTAATTAAATTGTATCGCATGTGAAATGTAAAGGATATCTATACTGCACAAACAGAGTAGATAAATTAAAGGGTATTTAAGTAATGTATTCAGTTTCGTGTTTACATTTTAATTGTTCAATTGATTACCCACCGAAATCAAGAAGTTGACCCATTATCAAAATCAAATCAATTCATTCGATTGTCATTTATTATCGATAACTTTGGCCTGCTTTAATAAATCGATAAAACTAACTGTTTATTAGCAATTCGCAAACGAATTAAAGTTGAAACTCGAGATATTTGAGCAATTTTTGGCCCGCTGTGGTCAGCCGAGGCATTGAGAAAGATACTTTTTGACATGGGAAACGGTTTCACAGCTCCTATCTAAATTTCCAAGTGAACACGCTTATAAAACGCACAACGCTTATCGCCACAAAGCGCACTAATTCCAATATAAATAGCCGGCCAGTGCGAGCCGCAGAAGGCGCAACCACAACCACAACGACAACGACAACGGCAACGGCAACCGCAGGCAGCAGAGTCGCAGCGGCAGCCAACGAAGCCAAGGCAGCCGCTACACATAACAAATGCTACCCAATAAAACCAGTCCGATAACTGTTCATAGCCGATTAACCGAGCGGCACGCAAAGCGAACCAGACCAGAGACCAGAGACGTACCGACGGATGGACAGACGGACGGACGGCATCAGCCAGAGGCAGTTGCAACAGTTGTCGCTGGTTGTTTGATGAGCGTGAAATACAACAAAGTTGAGAACAGCAGCAACAGCAGCAGCAGCAGCAGCAACAACAAGTGCGATAGCCTATGGAGAGAGAGACAGAAGAAGAGCGAGAGACAGAGAGAGAGAGAGAGAGAGAAGGTGAAGGTGGCCACTGGCCAGGCCACTGTCTCAGTCCTCGCTGTCTGCGTCCAGTTCTGGCTGACAAAACGATCGTAAATAATTTTTATTTCATCTTTAAGATACGAAACTAGTCTGCGCTGGCAGCGCAGTCGGCGTCACCGTCGCCGTCGCCGTCGCCGTCGACAGCAGCTCAAGAATTTAAGAAAGTTTTTCGCAAACAAAAGGCGATGATGCATATAAAAACAAAAGCCATTGGCGGTATCTGGTAACAGAACGACAGAGCGGACTCTTCTCGGGCCCCGAGGCAGCCACTAATGATAGCCCTGGCTTCAGCTTCAGCTTCAGCTCGAGCTCCAGCTCCAGCTAGAGGATCAGCTCAGCAAAGGTAGCACAGGTGAGCGGCAAAACTTGGGCATAGATCATGCAACCAAATGACGTTTGGTCTGCGTATCAGCTCAAGAACTGTTGCTGTGGCTGTGGATGTGGATGTGGCTGTGGCTCTGGCCTTGCCTTTGCCGTGTGTGACCTGTGTCAATGGCCGCAAACGCAAACGCAAACCCAGATGCAGACACATGGCAAGCCAGGCCAGGGCAGGGCAGGGCAGGGCAGGGCAGGGCAGGGCAGGCAGACCAGGCAGCCAGTCGAGCTCATCCTGGCAGAATGCGCGCAATTGAAATGAAAATATTCGCAAATTGGCTGCGCCCTGCGACCGCTGCGATCTGTGCCTCAAACTCTTTCTTGCTCCCCACCTCGCCCCATATCGCCTCCAACCGCAACGCCAACAAGACGGCGATCCCTGGCTAAAGCCACGCAAATCCCAACCAGCTTTTAGGCTAACTCGACAACGTCGCTGCCTGCCAACTGTGGCTCCCAGCGATTTGCTCTGGCTCCGATGGCTCTACAGAAATAGTCAATGCAGCGGGAATACTTAGAGTGGATTAAGTAAGTAGAATTCGAATCGTAAATTAAGCTGAAACTGTGTTGGAAGACTGGTAGAGCATAAGAGAATGCTTATACTTATAAAATAGAAAATATTTATTTTATTTTATATTTTATATATTTCTAGAAATTCTATAAGAAAATACTTGCACCTGTAATTATATTTTTATACAAATCCATTGTTTATGTTAAATTGTATATATTGATTGAGATGATTTAAATAACAGTTTACATATTTTTTTCAGTGTTAATTACATTTATAATGGTTTCTAACACTTAAACACTATTAAGGAAACTTTGATTATTTATAATTTGTTTATCTATATTTTTTCTTTGATCTTCACATTTCGAGTCATATTCATATGTTCGATTACCTATGCTTGATTCGGGTTTCAGTTTGTTTTGATTACATTCCTTTATCCACTTTTTAGCTCACATCCTTTATCATTTAAAAAATAATCTAGTATTATGTTGATTATAAGTTGTCAAGGAAGTTATCCAAATTATTCGCAAAATAAAACATTGTCTTAGTCGAACTGCTCCTATCTTAAAATTTATTATATATGAGTTCTAAACTTATTTCTATAAGCTCAGCTTAGATTTTACAGGGTATTAGCACGTTCAGCTATGCTTACCACCACAAATAATTTATTTCTCATTTTGCTTTGTCGCTGCTGTTGTTGTTGTTGTTATTGTTATTGTTGTCGCTTGCTCTGTGAATGTTTTCATTTCCAGGCGAGCATGTCGATTTATTTGAATTTAATCTCTGGCTTAACATGTTGCGCTCTGCGGTTTAGTTCGATTTTACTCTTGGCTCTGTTTAGTTTTTTGGTTTTTTGGGTTTTGCTTGGCTGCTGCATTCAGCATAGACCGAGTTGATGGAGTCCTGGGTCTGGGTGTTAGTTGTGGCAGGTCAAAGAGCTGAGTCAACTGCCTAAACAGAGTCAAAATAATTGCAAAGCCCTATAAGAGACAATTGCAGATACCAGTTGGCCCCCAACTCGAACATTTACAACTAATAGATGCATTTTATGACCGACTATGTGTGTGTGTGTGTGTGTGTGTGTGTAGGAAGGTGTCCGGCATTTCCTAGGCCTCACTGTGCTTAGAGCTGAACTTCTAGTCGACGACCGCAGTGGAATTTGATTTATTTTATTTGGCGTTAAAAAGCCAAGCTGAATGATCATGTTTGGTGATCATCGCACTCGATACGAGCAGAACCAATGAACCCAACGGACGACGACGACGACGACGACGACGACGACGACGACAACAACGAAGAGCAACATGTGTATGTATCTGGGCTTTGCAATTGGACACGGATAGCTCAATAGACACAGCAACAGCAACAGCAACAGCAACAGCAGCAGCAGCAGCAGCAGCAACGAGCAGCAGCAAGAGCAACAGCAGCTCGTTGCCTTCGCCTCGCTTGGCTTATTAGATGAAGGCATATAATAAAAGTGTTGCGGCTGCCGTGGAGTTGCAAAAATCTGGGAATCGCAAGTGGGCCGGGAGGGAGGAGCTGGCAATGCCACAAACCAGTTGGTAAAAGTTGGCAAAAAAGCAAAGCAGCTTAGATGCATTTTTACAGCCAACAGCCAAGAGGCTGTCCCCCCCCCTTCCAGCACGGCCCATCCCGCACCGAGCCGCCGACTCAAACACCGATCTGTGCCCCGTTCAGGTTTACGTTGCGTTTGTTGCCTCGTTCGTTGGCTTTAATTTTTCCATTTGTTTTGGCATTTAAAAATGCGCTTCCTTGTGTGCCCATGAGAGCATTTCGCTGCATAGACACACAGTGTAATAGAGATAGTGACAGAGAGAGAGAGAGAGAGAGAGAGAACAAGCGAGAAGGAGAGAGAGGGAGAGTATGTGGCTGGCCAGCAGCAACTTCTTGCGACTTGGCCTTAGCTCTTGGCCAAATGCAAAAAGCATTGAATTCCATGGATACTATTGACCCCAGAGCTCTGGACGAGCACAGTTTTGGCAGTGGCTTCTAATGATGTTGTTGTTGTTGCTCTTGTTGTTGTAGTTGTTGTTCTGGTTGCTGCTGCTGCTGTCTTTTGTGTGTCTCATTTAAATTTATTAAATTATATTTTGCAAACGTTGACGGTGGCTGTTTAAGTATACACACACATCTACACAAATGCAAGAAGTTGTTGTTGTTGTTCTTGCACGGAAAAAAAAGGAAAACAAAACCAACAAAATAAACGCAGCGAATGCGCATTTCCAAGAATTTCGAGCAGCTGCTTCCTGTGCTCCAGCACAATTTTTGCAGCAGTTGTCCACAGTGCTGTGGCATGTAAATTGCAACAACAGCAACAATAACAACAGCAACCAAAGATACAAATGCACAGATACAAAAGCTCAGAAACAACGCACAAAATGTGCATCAGACACGGATCTTAACATTTAATAAGCACAGATTGAATGATTTGTGATATGTGAGCAAAGAGACGTAAAAGGAGATGCGCCGAGCGTGTGAAACGTGTTAGCAGCAGCAGCTAATATGCCTTACAGCTATTGTTATTGACAGGGTATATTGGTCAAATGGAAATATATTGCTATAGGCTGATGATTCTATAAATTCAAAAAATTCAACAAAAAATAAAAACCAAAGAAAACAAAATAATTCTAAATTTAAATATCTGTATAAAAAATTAAAATTAAAAAAAAAAATAAATAAATAAATAAAACATACAGTTAATATATATTAAATGTAAGTTTTCAATATCATATAAAGTTGCATGTAGATTAAATTGAATTTCGTTTCATACCATTATATTTCATTTCACTTCATACCATTTTAGTTACAGAGCTCTTACGACCTTCAAAGATCGTAGAGATCATCAAGCTAGCTCTTTTTATCCGACTGGTATTTACAGCAATTCGTTATTCATTCTTAATTATTATTTTGTGCTCAGCAAATCGATTTCCACTTCAGTTTGACTGATGTACAAAACGGATTCCTTTAGCTGTTGAAGTGTTGTGCTGAATAGCCAAATGTTTGTTGTTTGTTGCTCGTTGTTTGTTGTTGTGCATCTGTTTGATGGATATAATACAATGTGGCATGAGTTGCATGTTGAGTATGGTTGTCTATCTGCCTCTCTCTCTCTCTCTTACTCTACCGTTTTTTGTTGCGCTTTGCATCTCATTCTGTCAACAGCTGTCAGTCGACAGTTGAAGAGCGAACAAAAGGGAAGATCACTGTCAAAATTTGTATTAAATAATAATATTAAATAAATAATAAAAAAATGAAATGAAATGAAACAACATGTATATACATATAATATGTGCGTGAGCTTGTCCTCGACTGGCAATTGTTGTTGTTGTTGTTGTGTTGTTGTTTGCATTTTGAGGGCATTTAATGACTGAGCGACAGTGCCAGGTGAAATACGAACAGTTGCCAGATACCCAGACAGACCCAGACCGAAACCGAAACCGAGACCGAGACCGAAACGCGGACCGACAGGACAGACTCAAAGAGCTAAGCACAGACAGGTCCAAAAAATAAACATATATATATATACATATATGTATATAAAAAACAACAAAAAAAATTATGGAGGATGCGGCCCTGTGCACAAGGCGAAGGTGGAACGCGCGCGCCTGCCTGGAATGTCGTACCAGTCACAAAACGGAGACGAAGACGAAGATGAAGCTGCAGTTGGCTGAAAAGGGGAAGGAGAACGAGAAGGAGGAGGAGGAGATGCAGAAGGCCTAAAGCCATGCCAGGCCGCAAGAGCTCAAGACTTTGTTTTAAATATTTAAACTTGCTGCAGGATCCAACCTCAACGCCAACTCTGAGTCCAAGTCCAAGACCAAGTCCATGTCGACGGATCTTTGATGTTTTTTGCTGCACTGCCGATTAAAAAAAAAAAAATTTATAATGAGCGACGACGACGACGACGGCGACGACGACCGCACTCGTATTTTATATTTTTGCCTCTCGATTTTTCGTTTCGATTTCGCATTTAGAGACAGAAGGAGAGACCGAACGAGGCTCAGCTCAGCTCGGCTCAGTTCAGTTCAGCTGAGCTCTACCAACTGTTCCGAGTCCCTCGCTCCATTTCCCCTCCCTTGGGTAACCCTTTGGCACTTAGTCAGTCATTTAGTCATTGGCCCGGCGACGACGTCAGATTGCGTCTGTTATTATTTTTATGTGCTTTTTCTTTGTCTTTTGCACCAATTTCTGCAAAATTTACTTAAATGCCACAGATACACACATACACACTTACACACACACACGCGCACGCAACTTGTGAAGAGGCAAAGCTAACTGCAGCGCCTCGTTCTGGCCATGCACAAAAGATACAAAAGATACCAGAGATATACATATGCATGTACATGCATGCACCTTATATATATATATATATACACATATATACATATATACATATTTATATATATATATTTGTGTGTTTATTTATATGTACAATCGCTCTGCTCATAATCCACTTTAATTTGTCTTTTGGCTGCCGCTTTTGTGGCTCGCTTCTTTTTCCCATTCTTTCTTTCTGCTGTCGCTGCCTGCACGAAGAATTTTAATTGAAACGAGTTTCAGACTTCAGTACTCAACTAAACGTAGGCCAAGTCCAAGAGTCTGCCACTAATAGTGGCTCTGCCTCAGCCTCAGCTTCAGCCTCAGCCTCTGCCTCTGCCTAGACCTGGGTCAAGTTTGTCCAAATAAAACTCCCACAGTCAACGAAACTGGTCACAGCTAGCCAAGAGGTTGCCTCGACTGGCATCCTCCACGCTGAGCCTTTACCCTGAGTTGGTCTTTTTTCTTTTGCTCAGATGTTAGAAATTGGAGCGTTAGATTGGCTCACAGAGATAGAGTTTCATGTGGATGAACTAGATCGGAGATTTAGGATAATTATTTGGGCTAATGCTGAGTGCTACTATTCTTTATATATTATCCACATACTTTAATATATACAATTTTAATTATATAAAAGCTAAAATTCCAATAGCTTATTTGATCGAAATTTATGCCTTGTGAGAATCACATAGTAAGGCACAATATGAAAGTAAGGCGCTATTGCGCTTGGATAACTTTAAGTACCTTAGGTCTAATCGTTGCTGCTGCAAGTCTTTTTAGCTAGCTTTTGAGCATTATATAAAAGTCTTTATATGCATTCTTTAGAATTCTGTTTATTCTTACTGCAAACTTTTTAAGTATTCTTTAGTAAAAAATTTTCCGCTAATGGGATCAACTTTGCAGAGCATTAAATAGGTCGTCAGCAAGCCAAAACTTTGGCTCTGCGACTTTTCACCGGTCTTCTGATCAGCTTTTGGGCTAGAGAGCAAACGAACTTAACCGGATTCCATTTATTTTGACAATGGTGCTCGCATCTATTGAGCCTCAGAGCAGAGCTCATTGCCGTTTAGTGAGGCCAAACGCAAATATTGCTGACAAAACACTCGACACCTGATGCCATCTACTGGTATTCGAGCCCAGTTGTGGACGTGGAGCAAGCAATTTGTCTAGAGCTGACCAAACTGGTCGAATGCACGTGCAACAGCCGACAGAGTGAGAGAAAGAGAGAGGGCGAGGACACTTCTAAACTGGTCAAGTGCAGGAACAGGGACAGGGACAGGGACAGGGTCTGGCAGTGGCACTGGTGCTCGGACTGGGTCTGGATTGAACCTGAGCCGGTTGCTCAAAAACGACAAACAACAAACAGCAATTTGCAAAAAACTATTGACCTCAAAGTGGCAACGGCAGCAGGAGAAGCAGCAGGAGCAGTAGCAGGAGGGGCAGCGGCATGCGATTGGCGGTCCCTTCATATGAGTTAAGTGCCGTCTGCTAATTGAATTCCAATGGCAATACAATATTTTTGGGCTATTATGTTATTACCAAAAGATCGGCGCGTTCCATCGTCCACTGTGCATGCTCCATGGCTGGAGCCCTTCACTTGGTCATGGCAATTGGGCCGAACTTTCTTCGGGAGCCCACGTATCATTAAATTCACACCCGAAAGAAGAAAACCGAAGAGCAGCACAGGACTCAATTGGGAATTATGTTGTAATGCGTTGTGGTAATTACAATTTGTGGCCGGGTTAATGCGCATGTGCAACAACACGTCAACAGACGCACACGCAGCCAGTGCTGAAGTTGTTTGGCTGCTCACAAACAGAGCGAGGCAACACGGAGAGTGTGAGCGAGAGAGAGGGAGAGACGTGGCGAAGGGAGACCTGGGAGTCTGTGGCAGCAGGAATGTAATTTGAAACTGGCTATGCTTGTAAAATGGCCCAAACATGCGCCAACAGTGGCAAAGCAAGCTGATCAAGCGACAGTTTTTGTGGATAAGGCAACAGGAGCGCAGCGAGGGGGCGAGGGGGCGAGTGGGCCTAGATGAGAACAGAAGAGGGAGCAATGCATATGTATAAATGTTACTCAAGCCGAAGGTGCCAGCTCTCAGTACTAATTTAGTTTTAATTGTATGTTAAGTGTATTATATAATAAATAAATAAATATATATGTTTTGTTTATTTTAGCTAAGGCTAATAACTAGCAAATGATTAAAATAAATGCTTAAACATTATACATAGATGATATAAGATGTTATCCAACTATCCATAACGTCCAACTACAACTGGCGCCCAAACCCGCACAGCGCTCCTGTTGCAGCTGCTGCACATGGCCGTGGCGCAGGCGCTGTTTAGGCAACAGCAACAGCAGCAGCTGCTGCAGCTCGAAGTCAGCGCGCACGCAGGTGCTGAAAACTTAATTATTGTATAACGCACGACTCGTGCAGTCGGAGGATGAAGATCGGAGGATCTGGTTGCTATAGCTGCTGCTGCTGCTACTTGGGCTACTTGGGCTACTGAAGTATTCGCGGCAGCAGCCACCGTAAGTATTTGAGTTAATTAATATTTTTTGCCTGCTGCTCGACTTTGACGTCTTGTTGTTGTTGTATAAAAATGTTTTATTAATTTTGTTAATTAATTTTATGCCATTGAGCGCTGATAAATGTCAAAGCATATGAGCTAACCAGCTCTGGCCCTCTTTCTCTCTCTCTCTCTCTTTGGGTTTTCACCTTTCTCATTCACTCCAGCTGTTTGCTATTTCATTCGCACTTGCTTTCACTGCGTTTGGCGAACTGGTTTCTGTGCGCGCAGGCGCCAAAGCGCATGTTAAGGCTAATTGCAAACACCAAGAACAACAACAACAACAACAACAAACAGGACACTCGGCAATTAGCGCACGCGCCTAATTAATTAAGCCAGCAACAGTTTTTCTTTTCTTCCAGCTTTCGCCCTATTTCAAATCATCGGCCAAAGTTGCTTAGGATGTGTGTTGGCTGTGCATACCCGGTTTGCATACATACGAAAGCACACACACACACACACATGCACAGGTTTAACTGTCACTGAGTGTAACTATTTATGACTTAAACGAATTCGCCGTTGCATATTCTCACAGCCTGCGCATCGAGTTAGCTGAAGAATGTGGCCAATGCCGTTGTTGGCGCACAGTGGAGCAAGACTTGTTAGCTTGCGAAAGTCTATTACAAAATATTTAGAGAGTTTGAAGAAATTTAGTAATTGAATGCGTTTCTTAAAATAGGAGAATCTAGAGCAGTAAATTGACAATCAAATATTTTTTTAATATTTAAGGGATTTTCTAAAAGGAAAGAATTAGTACAATTAGATACCCTTATAAGTCTTTTTTCAAAATTTTTTATAAAATTTTTGAATTAAAAAAAGTTTTAATTTAGAATACTTCTAAATGTTGATAGCTTCAGATACGGGTCATATTTTTAACTTCCAATATCTATAAGCTTCTGAATTATATTATATATATTCGGGAATTTTTTTACCCTCACTAAAAAATGTGCAAGTGCTTTGCTATCTCTGCCCCACTGTGCATTGTCGTCGAGCTAAACAAGTTTTCCCCCCCAAGCAGGCCAGACATGCATGATGAAAAAAAAAGAGTATGCAATTGAATGATTGATTACTTGACTGATTGATGATTGAAGGTCTTGGCTTCGCTTTAAGTGACTGCCGACATGTTCACTGGGTGTTTCGGTGTTAATTACAGCGACAACTCGGCAACTGAGCAACTGAGCAACTTGGCTGCTTGGCAAGTGCCTTCGCCAACTCGAATAGCTGACATCAATTAAGCATAAATAGCGCATAAATAAATAAGCAAATCAACTACTAAATATGTGCATTCGACTATAATTAATCGCTGTCTAATA